GCCTGTGGACAGTAAAGACTTGGCTTATGAGGTTTCAAAAGAGAGAAAGAACTCTATGGGAATTTGACTAGAGGCCGTTCATATTACATTCTGGAAAAACAAAACAAAACAACAACAAAAAACTATTTACATCTTGCTCATGTCCTGAGACTTACTGTGAGGCTGAAATTAGAGGTGATGGCCTAATTAATTTGGCAGAGGAAATTTCAAGGCAGCACAGCACTCAAGTGGCAGCATGGATATTACTGGTAGATTTGAGCCAAATTAACTGTGATAATAAGGAGCAGGAAACAGCAGAAAGATTTGAAAAATTGCAGTTTGTCCAAAAAAGTACAAGTAAAACTGGGTGAGATTATAGCCACTAAAGATTCACTGAGTACTTTACCCAGACACAATAGGAAAAACAGCCTGAGGGCATCTCAGAAATTGGCAAGAGCACATCCATCTCAGGATGAAGGGTGTAAAGTAAAAAAATTTTTTTTCATAAAAGAACACTTGGGCACCCTACTTGCACACAGCAGTCTAGGAAGTTCTTTCACCATGCTCAGTTGCCCAGTAACTCAGAGGCTGCTGCATTTGTGGTGCCCGGAAGCTTGGTTACCTCTCAAAATGTTGGCAGAGCTTGGCTTCAACCATGTGGTACTAGTTCTACAAGATTGTAGGATGATGAAATTAGGGGGTTATGGAGGCTTCCACTGTAATTTCAAAGGAAGGCCTAAAAAGCCAGGAAAAACGTGAGCGGTTTAAAGTCCCTGTGGGCTGCCACTGAGAGGGTGATGAGCGAAGAAGTAGAAAGGAAGCAAAAGTTGTGGTGAAGACCCCCTGAGATTAAGAGATGCCAGTAACATGGAATGTCTACTGCTGAGAAAGCTGCAGGAGTAGAGACAAGCCAGACTGTAACTAGCAAGCCACAGTGGCGGAGCTACACAAACCCTTCAGAGGGAACATCACAATGCAATGTGCCCCAGATGTTGGATGTGGAGCTACAGAACTTGTTTGCCCAGCTGGATTTTGGTCTTGCTTTTGTTCCATCTCTTCTTTATATGCCCATATTTCTCCCTTGTGGAATGGAAATATTTACTGTATGCCATTACATAGTGGATATATATAACTTAATTTTGATTTTTTATAGCAGTTCATACTGAGAGTTTGCTCTTAATCTTGGGAAACTTTGGGAACTACTGATAAAGAACTAAATGTATTTTGCATTGTGAGATGGGCATGAACTTTTGGGGACCAGGGGTGGAATGTTAGGTCTCCCAAAAGCTCATGTATAAGACAGTGCAAGAATATTCAGAGGAAATGATTAGATTATGACAAGGGTGACCTAATCAGTAAATCAATTCACAGTGGATTAACTGGGTGGTGACTGTAGTCAGGGAGGTTATGGTGGAAGGAAGTATGTCACGGGGGGGGGGGGGGTGCTAGAGTTTATGTTGTGTCCTTGGTGAGCAGAACTCTCTTTGCTTCATGGCTGCCATGTCCTGAGCTGCTTTCCTTCACCACTCTTAACCACCATGATATTCTGTAACCTCAGGCCCAGAGATATAGAGTTAGCCAACCATGAACTGAACTTCTGAAACTGTGAACCAAATAAATTATTCTTGCTCTAACTCTTCTTGTCAGGTCTTTTGGCCACAGCAATGAAAATCTGACTCCAACACATTGTGGGATAAAAAACTTATAAAAAGTAGCCAATTCTATTCTAATTTTTCTTCCATGCCTCACTGCTAAGATAGCTTACAGTTTTCTACAAATGCCTCCTAACAGAGGAGCAGTCATCATGGGCCTACTCTCCCAGGACAGAATACATCCCAGCAAGATCCAGAAGCAGCCACAAAATGAGAAGGGGTTGTAGTGGCAACAACTAAGATGGACAGTTTGGTAGAGCTCGGAGGCAGTCCCAAGGATAAGACCCTAGAGAACCTCAAGCTTCCCCATGAAACTGTGCAAGTAAAGTAGCATTGAGGAGAGACATGTTGTCATCAAACATAGAAAAGAAAATCTTTGGTAGGAAAAGAAGACTAAAATCTTATGCAGTTGATACCTTGTTTTTGTTTGTTTGTTTGTGTACCAGGAATTAAACCCAGGGTGCTTAATCACTGAGTCACATCGCCATCCCTTTTTATTTATTTTTTATTTTGAGAAAGGGTCTCACTAGGTTGCTTACAGCCTCACTAAGTAGCTGAGGCTAGCTTTGAACCTGCAATCCTCCTGCCTTAGTCTCCCGAGCCACTGGAATTACAGGTGTGCACCACCATGCCTGGTGGCTAATGCGGTTATTTTTACTTGTATTATCTTCTGGCATCATTACATATTTTAAGCAGAAACATTAAAATCAGATAAAAATACAAATACTTTTAAAGTCATTTTTTAAGGCCTATAGAAAAATGATTAGTGGAGTCTCAAATTATGAAAGGATGACCAGGAATCGTAAAAAAAGGAAGTTCTGAACCTAGAAACATAAAAGTAAGTTTTGATACTGTTTAGTTATTCATGATATTATTTTAGTTTTAATATGTTTTTTCCTGCCATGAAAATGCAGGGTTGATATCAGTGGTTCTTAACGGTTGATAGCATATTTCACAGGACATAGGAAGAAATAAGAAGCATGCATCTGTGACTTAAAAACAACTTTGAGCTGGGTATGGCAGTGCACGCCTATGTTCCCAGCTACTTGGGAGGCTAAGGCAGGAGGACTGCTTGAGCCTAGGAGTTGTAAGCCAGTCTGGGCAACACAGTGAGGCTCTGTCTCAAAATTAATAAATAAATAAAATAAATTAAAATTAAAACTCCTGGTGAATCTGACACACCAGTGTCCACACTAGAGTACCACTCCTTTCTGGGAGGTTCCTGCAGGGTAGCTGGCTGGGATCTGTGGGCTGCTAAATGCCACCTGAGATAATCAACATGGAAAGCTGGCCATTACTATTTCAAACACCTCTCCAAGTGAAGCAAAGCTGCAATGTCAGACAGAGGATAATGAGATCCCCCTGTACTTCTTCACACTCACGCCACCTCCCTGTCTGCCCAGCACAGGCAGCTCTGAGCTGGGAAGACGTCCCAGGAAGGGCCAGAGGGGATCCCACTGCAGGCCATCTGCTGGCAAGTGTACACATACAGCTGCCTGCCTGCACCACTGCTCCCATTTGGTTGAGGGACGATGACAGGAGGATGATTGCAGTGCTTTTTGTAGTCAAGCTGGTGACCATCATAGAAAAGGGCTCAAAGAAAAGTGTTCAACCAGACTCCAAAAACACTCCTTGCATTTCTGCAATCTTCTTTCAGAGCCTGACATGCCTGCGACTGTCACTGCTTCTGATGGTACCAAGTGGTTCAGCTAGGAAAAAACACTCACACCAACAACAGCATCCCTTATTACAACTCATCCTGAGTTTCACTCTTGTAATGGCCTCTCACATCAGATGGGCCTGTTTCTTTAATAATTACAGTGTCCTCCAACACTGTAGTAGGACTGATTTAAGTAGATGGCACCTTCTGTGGAGAATGTTAAAAAATGCAGCACCTGGGGCTGAATCGAGTAGCCTGATGCTATCCATGTTGTGAATAAGCAGGACCTTGGTTAGTGAGGACTCTCCAGGTTGCACGGTCACTCACACAGTGAGGCCTATAGTCTACAGAAGAACCTGGGTGAAAAGGAGGAAAAGAAGGGCCCTTCCTCAAACCTATACAGCCTACAGAGTTAAAAAACAGTAACACCAGGTAATGCTTCAAACTTGTTAACTTTCAAAGTTACTTAAAAATACAGAAGTCAACTTTGATATTTAATATTAAAAGTTATATCCATAACAAAGTTAAAACTAAAACAATGGTTTTAGTTGAGCTCTAAAAGTTCTCTATACATTGGAAATTTTTAACTCCTGCTACTTTATTAATATTATTCTCCCAAATTGCCATAAGTAAAGGATTAACAGGACATAACAGGTATTAGGACAATTTAGGCTGTGACCATTCAAAGAACTGGTGAACATCCGTGAGTTACACTCCTCTTTCCCATTCTAATCATTACCAAGTTTTCAGGACATGTATTGATATGGACATGGGTCCCAATAGTGACAGGACTGAGATGGTCTAGAGAACCAAGTCCGTTGGAAAAGACACACAATTCTGTTTTGTGCTGTGAGGCAGGAGCATCTCAACCTCCTACTACCTCTGAACATAGGGAGCAGAGACACATTTTCAAAGATCTTTTTAGTTTAACAATGATCTTTGCAGGAGGGAAGTAAAGACATGTGAGTATGGGAAAAAGAGAAGAGGGATAGGTAGTTTGAATGAGAAAAGCCACTCATGATACACTGTGATCCATCAACCCGGGACTGACTGTACACAGTGCCCAGCTAAGCACTACCTAACAACGAACCAAAGACAAGCACATCAGAAAACAAGGAAACAACTAATCCAAAATTCAAAATACCTTTCAAAAGATGGGTCAGGCAGTATTTCCCATCAACCTGACTTTTGCAATGACAGTTCAATCACTTGGGTCTCATTGAAATTATAGGCAGGCACTTTCCTGAGGTGAACTTGGCTAAGCAGCGTAAATATGGCCTGACACATTTGTGAAAGGAAGATACTCCCACAGCTGAGCACACCCTTCATACCAAATCAAAAGCCAACATACTGTCTTAGGCCTAGAAAGTATGAGCATCCGATCAATATCAGACCGACTTCCTCCCCAATCTCAACTGCCATTAAAATATAGAAAAGCCTTTGGTATGAAAGCCTTTGCCCGGCTATCAAGAGCATTCTCTATATTGCAATTCTGAATGAATCACGAGAATATTTTAAATTCTTAACTACTAGTACAATATTTATATTCTTTTCCTTTAAGGTAACTGGAATTACTATTTTGACTGCTTCTAAAAATGTAAGCCATCTCCTGTCATTAAGCCAGAGTCCTTAGATCTGATTATAATGAGTTAAAGGAATAACAAAATATCTTAGTATACATAACAAAACAAAAGTATTATAATACTTACCGATCAGACCCTTCTCCAGAGTGAAGATTTTGTTTGTAAACATACATTCAAAAGCCACAATGTGAAAGATCTTGTTTACTGTATTGTGAGTCCCAACTATTCGAATATACCTAAGGGTAAAAAGAAAAGAAAATCTGTTGAAAATGAACTCCATCATAATCCAAGGATAAACAGGATAAGGTCCTTCATTTAAACACATAGTGTACCAGGATATGAACTAAAGGAGACTTTGAACTTGACTTCAGATCCTGAATTTCCTCCTCAGCTGGCTCTAACTAAGCCTAAAATAATTATAGCAAAGTCAAAGTGATGTCACTTCCCAGAGAATTAAGTAAAACTTAGATTTACCTAGAAAATCATGCCAGGTACTGTTCAGCTCAAGCCTTGAATGTCAGTACTCGTGTATGTCCACGAAACATTTACATTGGAGAATAGCAAATAGCTTCTACTTGGCCCAGGCTTAGGAATGTATCTGCGCACATGTGCACAAATATAGTCAAAATCAAATGCCTTCCAACTCAATCGAAGATTTCATCCATTGGAGACAAATGCATGAAATCAATATTGCTTTCCTGTTTAAAAGGAGAAATGCAAATAAACTACCGAAAACCCTTCCCAGTGTCTTATTTTAGTACTGCTCCTAAGTGCTAGTAGGAAGTTAACCCCATATACTTACGCCAGGCCCACCCACCTGACTGCTGGGAAGCCTTCTCCTGACCAGAGGAAGTGATCAGCAGAGGTGGCCCAGCCTGCTCTGCAGCCTCCCTCCTGACCACACACATCTGGCATCTACACATGGTGCAGGGTTTCACCGGGCAGGTCTTGAGCATCTTGGCCTGTTCACCCTTCGCTATCTCCCAAGAGGCTTCATCTTCGACAAACAAGCATTAACCTTGGAGTGACTTGCTCCCTTCACTCTCCAAAGGGACTGATAGTTCACAGGTTAATGAACAGACAAACTCTTCTGAGTGTCACACAATTCCACAGGGAATGTGCACACACTGTCTTACGGAATTCAAAGGAAGAACCAGGAAAAATAACTAGTTAACTGATAATGCTCTTCCAAATTACGAACTATGCACTCAGAAGGATGGGGCATATTAAAGGAACAGATTTCAATTAGGATATGACAGACTGGGCAAGGTTTTAGTAATTTCTTCCCTCTGTGTGTAAAACAACCTTCGATTTAGATGATAAAATTTTACTTCTGAGTTAATCGCTGTTCACTAATTTGGTAATTTTCTTACATTTCTCATCACTCCGGGTTAACTGTATAATGTAAAAGCTGATTTTTAAAATTCACATTAAGAAGACTATATTTAGAGTTTTTGTATCAAGGGCTATTTTCCCTCCTGTTTCTTCAGGCCCGAATCTTGGGCATTCCCTATGCACCTCATTTAGCCATCTGCTCCTTGACACAAGCTGATCGCTCATCTTCATAACTGATATTAATGTTATCTCCTAGACTGGCTGTTCAGTGTGCTCAGACTTACAGCAGGGAGACACCACTCTTTCTGCACCAAGAATCAGAGCTCTCTGATTAAGCAGGAGGTTGTCCCTGATCTCCGCTCTTCAGTCCTTAAGGCAGACAGGTGTTGATTTTACTGGGTTTAGTAGGTGGGTTCATTTAAAATATGTTCTTAATGGTATGAGCAGGAAAGATTGTGGAGTCATCTACTACTGGCAGCAACAATCTCCCTGGTTGCTTTCTGGAAGGGAAGGGGTGTGTTAAACCTGGCACCTGGACCTGAATCTAATTTTGTCCATTTCCTTAAACCCACAGCAACTCAACCAGCATAGCATTTTCAACCGCACAGGCCCTGACAGCCTGAGTGCTGCAGGGAATGTGGTTTGGTGGAAATGGATCAGATCATTTTCCTCTTCCCTAGGTCTGGCGTCCTCCCAAGGAGAGACTGCTCTCCTACCATGCAGAGTAGTAAGCCAGGAAGTGGTCAACAGTGAAGAGCGGGGCCTTTCCCTCCTTGGTGTTCTAAGGTCAAATACAGCCCATACTGACCTAAGGGGATGCTACAAAGCTCCCTTCCCTCTCCTTTCTTTCTTTCCTTTCTTTCACTGTATGGAATCAGGCTTTCCAAGTTTAGTTAACAGTCATTTCCCAAATTTTACCCTGGTACAAATGTCAGGAATGGGAGAGAATATGCAACCTTCCCCTAACTCACCACCTCCACTCCCACAGTTAAAAGTAATTGAAAATAAAAAGTGGTAATGGAATGCATTTTACAGCCTTAATGATAGTGTTTGTGATAATAAACAAAATAATACATATGGTTGGAAAAGCACTAAGAGATGCCTCCTGATAAAAAAAGTTCTATAAAGAAGATAATGTTATCTCTGCTGCATAATTCTGAGGTCAAATTAGCAATTCACCGCTGTACATCACACTTCTTGATTAGCCCACTATATGTAATGCTCATAACAAGTTTGATTATTCTAGTTCTACAATACTTTCTAAGTTTCTACAAATTATAGCATAATTTATTAAAATGGCATAATCTTATAAAAATACACATTTAAAAAATAGTAACCGTTGAAAGAAAGAAGTCACGCTTCAGGGCTGGGGATACAGCTTGGTGGTTGCATACTGCCTAGCATTTGCAAGGCCCTGGGTTCGATCCCCAGGTAGGAAGCAAGGAAGGAGAGGAGAGGAGGTGGGGGGCGGGGCAGGCAGCTGGACACTCAGGGAGAGGCATATAGACAGTCACGCTCCTTTTCCTCAAGGAAGAAGTTGTAAATATCCTGGACCTTTTCCTACACTCATGTTCTAGACTAGAAACTGCAAATCACTTCAACTAACGGCCTAACTTCAGTGGCTGGTGGAGACAGTGGAGAGCTCTACATTAGCATGCAGAGGCCCTGTCCAGCTTGGGGAAGTGCCCTGAATCCTGGGGAATGACAGGTTTGGGTAGGCAGCACAGGCACTGTCCTTGATTGTGAGCATATTACCTTAATGGGGTTCAGAATGGAGCATCCTGAAGGTTGAAGAGGAGTTACTACCATCTGAGTCACTGAAAACCCAATGACTAAGGATAGAAGAGATTCCTCTTTTTACTTTTTTGAGAAATAAAGCAAAACCTGGTCATAACACCCAAACAGAAGTAGGTACCACATTTTATCTGTTACAAAAAATCCTGAATAACAAACAGGTAAAGCCTAAGGCTTATTTTATTTTCTTTCCTTTTCACCTCCTTCTCTCCAGTGCAGTCAGACTCTGATTTAACCTGGTAATAAGGGCAGTGGCAGCTAGTGACTTCATCAGTGTGTAGAGAGGTGTTCTGCTGAAAACTGTAACAGGTATCCTTTGTTCTCTCTGAAGTCCTCAACAGCAGCTCAGACAGTTGGAAGGTAATTAAAACTTAAATGGTGCTGGGGAAGGCAGAGAGGAACAGATTGGCCAGTTCGAGGAGGACGAGTGCTGTCCGCATGAGCCCCACTGTAACAGTCTGTTTCTAACACTCTCCTCCCTTCCCTATGTTAGCTGTCTTAAAGTGGCTGACAGGGCCTGGACCCAGAACACAGTTCAGAACAGGATGTTTCAATACCAAAGTCTCTTGGAGCTGTGAGGCTGAGGGTGAAAGAGATTCTGTCTTCTTTAATAAAATGAAGCCTAAGCCCTCCAAGGACAACATGCTAAAACTGAAGGGTACTGTAGAGTTTTACAATGGCATGGGCTTTAGAGTCCAACAGAACAGGGTTGCAGCCTAGTCCCACCACACAATTAGGAGTGTCACTTGGAGGAAAATAAATGTTTTAAAACCCTTTTTGAACTTCAGTTTCCTTCTGTATAAAAATAGGTCAATAAGAGAACTTTAGAGGTTACTTAAGTGAGGGAATTTATTTATTATTTATCTTTGGTACCAGGGATTGAATTCAGGGGCACTCGACCACTGAGCCACATCTTCAGACCTTTTTTGAATTTTATTTAGAGACAGGGTTTCACTGAGTTGCTTAGCACCTCGCAGTTGCTGAGGCTGGCTTTGAACTTAACAATCCTCCTGTCTCAGCTTACTGAGCTGCTGGGATTACAATTGTGAGCCACCTTGCCCAGCTAAGTGAGAAAATTTAAGAGTAGATTATTAGAGGCCGAATTTCTAGGTTTGGAGCATACTGATTGTCTAGAAGAGTAACTCCCAAACCCCAAAAGTTAGGAATTTTAACTTACAAAGGAAAAAATAGCATTTCCTCTCAAAGTGACATCACAGTGACCTAGAGACTCCTGACTGTGGATGCTAAAGTGGCACATCCATAAAGACTCAGGTCAAGGAGCGGACTTCACCAACTCAAGTGGGGTCTTGTCCCTCTTCTCTTAGGGTCGCTCAGTATGGGCACTATGGGCCACAGAAGCAAGCGTCATTCAGAATGTAGATTTCCTGACTCCATGATATTTTCTGCTCTGATCCCCTAGTCTTAAAAAAAAAAAAAATTGCCTCAGCTGTGTGTGAGGAAGCAAGGGAAGAATCTTTTAACCATATTTAGGCTTAGAATTTGAACCTCACTGCTCACCTCCCCAAGCATCCCTCTTTGGCAGGGAAGGTGAAGTCCAGGGAGGCTGATCAGGGCCACGTGGCCCAGCTACCCACACCCATTGAAGGGACTCTTTCATGTGCAAACCCAAGACATTGGGAGTTTCAATTTATTAAAGGGGGGGTGGGAGCATTTCCTTACAGAGAGAAACCAAAATACTGTGACCTGGAGACATTTTGCTTTGGAGATTTCAAAGCATTCCCTACCTGTCTTGAAAAAGTATAAATCCCTACATTATATTTGCCTTTCTATCATTTCTTGTCAGAATGCTTCTAGTCAAAGTCTAAGTCAAACACAATAGGGTGTCAACAGAGTAAACAGCATCTGGCACACTCCCACCTTAGCCCCAGGATTCTCTAGCCCCATCCTGGTGGGCCACAGCCCATCTGTGGTCATAGCTGACCCCTGACCTTTACTCCAGTCATGTACTGGTCTGTACTGGGCATGTTCTATTACAAGATAAAATTGAATTTGGTTAGAGATATTTAAATGAGCTCTCAAGGGATCAACTAAAGTCAAAATCCATCAGAATTCTATTCTTTGGTTAACAAAGTTTTATTCTCCAATT